ATGTGAAAACAAAATCAACAAAAGTTAATTAATCTTTATATTAAAATTGTTAAGGAATACACTTACGGTTCGACAGGACTAACACAATTAATCATTCAAATAGATTGACCGAACAAAAACAATCATTCAACCAAATAATAACAGTTAAAATAGTTAGGAGATATATTTACAATTTCGTATTAAAATAGTTAGAAGATATACTTACAGTTCAGAAGAACGAATCAAAATAACAACTCATTTGACAATGTTAATTAGACATCCTTCCTTTATTCCATGCCAATTTATGAATCTTTGACCTGTAAATAACAACAAAAACATAAATAAATAAAAAATCATCGATTAACAAAATCATGAAGAACAAACGTATTATTGACACAAACTAACATGACCTATAAACAATTAACAAAAGACCAGACGTATTGTTAACATCAACTAACATATTGTGATAATACAGAACTGAACATATGCTCTTTTTATAACCTCTTATTTAGACATTTCGAATGCTAACATAATTAAATACGAATTGAATACAAAGAAGTGTTTGAAATGTCAATACAATGCACCTATATAATTATTAATAAACAGGTATGTTTTTACCAACAATGCAATACACCTATCTAATCCAATCTTTATGTCTATTTATTTAGACTTTGGAATACCAATGTAGCAATTAATATTGTCTACATCATCACCAATAAAATTCAACCACATGGCAATCACAAATCCAAGGTATCATTATGGTTGGACCTTTAAAATGTCAATGCAAAGCACTTATGTAATCTAATCTTTATGTCTATTTATTTAGACTTTGAAATACCAATGCAATAGTTAATATTGTCTACATCATCATTAATAAAATTCAATCACATTGCAATCACAAATCCAATGTATCATTATGGTTAGACTTTTAGAATCCTAATGCAATGCACATGTATTATAATTATTATTAATTATTAATATATATTCTATTCTTTTAATTAATTAATAAGTATAGATAGAGCAATAAATATCAATCCAACATGTCAAGATAGAGCAATTTGATTGGCTTGTCAATCCAAGCAATTCTAAAGCTTCCAAAATATGCCACATAGCAAACAACCTATATAAGTATTCACGGCGAACAACCAGCATGGGTATTCATGAATCTTAGAGCTAAAAATATCTCATTAAACCACACATCCAACGTGGCGAGAGAGAGCACTTCTAGAGCTCCAAAATAAAGCAATTTTAGAGCTAAAAAAAAAAGAAAAGAAAAGAAAACAAGTGTCATACGTGTCACTCAAATAGGTATGCTTTTACTTTTGGATTTGGAATACCAATGCAGCAATTAATATCTCTCTACATCATCACCAATAAAATTCAATCACATGCAACTATAAATCTTATGTGTCAAAATGGAATAATTCTATTCGTTTTAAAATGTCCCACATAACAAACAACCTGTATGAATATTCAACTTTATATATTATAATATATAATATATATATAATATATATATATATATATTATATTATATATATATAATATATAGATATGTAGATGCAGATGTAGAGGGTACTTTATTAGATTGACTGTATATAAAGTTGATGCACAAAAATAATTACACCTTCAATAGTCTTATATATAATCATCATTTTGAAGAATTTTCCTTGAATCTAATATCTTGTGTCTATCTTGATTTTATCAATGATACTATCGGAAATTGAATATTTGTCACTGAAAGATGCTACAAAATAAGAATAATTATGTGTGTGTGATTTTTTTTTTTTTTTTTTTTTTTTTTTTTTTTTTTTTTTTTTTTTTACATTCAGTAATATATTACCAAAAACTTTTGTAATTTATTTTTGATTTATCTATATCATGCTAATATTTTTGACTCTGATTTTCATTTTAACTATAGAATAAATATTAACAATCTTTTTTTCTTTCTTTAATCACTAAAAATAAATCAATACCTTATTTATATCTTCTTTTTCTTTTATGTTAAAGAAAATATATATATGATAAAAAAAAAAAAAAAAAATTCAAGGGCACCCATTAAATTTTGTCATGTAAACTATGCTTTTGAACAACCAATAAATGTCCCTTTGGCAAATAATGTGCCAGAAATAAAGGATGGGATATGTTGAACATTATATGCCATATGTCAAATTGATGGTACAAAGAGAAAATGACTATTGAGGGAGACAAGTAAGAATTTTAAGTTTTTTTATCATATGCTATCAACCTTATATTGATATTTGGAAGATGAAATAATATAATTAAATCATATCACATGGGACACAAAACTTATAGATTATTTAAAGCATAGTAATGTTACTCATAAAAAAAAAAAAAAAAAAAACATATATATGTATGCAATTTGTATACTAAAAATATTTATGTATAATTTTTCGTGTAATATTATGTAAATAATTTGGTGCATAAAAGTCAATGTATTGAACCATAAGTCTAATTATTAATAATTTTTACGTAACTTTTCAGCAAGTTAATTTGAAAGTTGTTCCTAGAGAATTTAATGAATTTCGAATATCTTTGACTTTTTAATTATTATCAATTAATTAATCAATTAATTAAATCAGTAAAAACCCTTCAATTTGTTTAAAGATAAAAAAAAAAAGGTGAAGCCCGTGTCTTTAGTAACTTTTGCTGCAGCTCTGCCAGACTGCCACTTTGTATTTACATAGATTATGTTTATTTAATTAATAATAAAGTTCATAGGGCAAAGTACATTTAATATAATATTAATTAAATTAAAAATGGGTTAAACTCCACATGGAGGTTGTAGGAATGTGGAACCGATGTCCACCTTCATGAAAGGAATCATCAACATCAGCCACCACATGGCTTAATTTGTGGAGTCAAATCGAGACCAACCCAATTAAATATTAGTAATTATAATATAAAGTTTTTACACCTCATAGGTTGAATATTGTACTTCTTTTTGTAAATTATTCTATCTTATACATATATAATATAATCTCTCATTTGCAAGTCTACACTCTACAAGGAAGAAGAGGAGAGATATAATGATATATTAAAGAGAAAAAGAAGTAAAAAAATATTAAAGCTCCATGTGCTAACCATTAATTTAATTAATTAATTAATTAAAATGGTTTAGGCCATACTTAAATATTTGGCCTACTTCTTTCTGGTGGTTTAGATGAGTAGATTTTTAATTTAGAGGTTAAGTAATAATTATTGATTACTTACCCTAATTGATCTTTTAGAATTGTCAGTTATTACAATCCAATATGGTAAAAACTTAAAAAGACAATCTAAAAAGTAATCAAAGGGTGAAAAAATATTGATTCTAATAGAAGGTATATAGTTTCCCATAGAACAAACATATTGATTATCTGTAATTTCTTTTTCTAACATATGAATAATTGGTTAATTTTAAAATAATTAAAAAGTAGTATAACAAGATGTAAGAGATATGAAAGCTTCTATAATGAATATGTACTGGATATACATGAATTTTCTATTAATGCGATTAAATTCCTATAGATTTTTATGATGATAAATGGGTCAACTTTAAGTATAGATTTAATAAATTTGATAGCATATCTTTTCTGTTTTTGATATTCTATTTGTATTTCATTTCATGTCTTTCATCTTATCCTTCCTTTCTAACTCTCAAAATAAATTATTTTTTTTTTTTTTTTTTATTGTGATTTTTGGTTCAGTATACGTGTAATTCAATTAATTTCTTAGGTTTATTGAATATTTTACAAACCTAAATTACTAAATAAATTACAATTTTATTGGGTTAGGTGATCCAAAATTTTGAACTTAAAAACTTAAGAAATAGAACAATCCTTTTTGATTTTCAGACCAACTTCTTGGGGTTAATTATTCTTATTTCCAATAAAATATTAACATTTTCAATAGAAAAAAATCGAAACTATTTTATGTGTTAATAATAATTAAAATGGTGTAAATTATTTTTGTGGGTTTAGAATTGACAATCTACCATCTTCAACATAATTATGAATTAGGAAGAATTATTTATTGGAAGTTGAAGTTGGTTTGGTGTTACATATCAAATCATGTGATTAAAATGATCCACGGAGAATGAATTTATTAATGGGTCGACGTGTATAATTAAATTGTCAATTGCTAAATTATGTGACAGTGACAAAATTCAACCTTTATTATATTTATTAAAAATCTAAGCCTCATGAGATACATCTTGGTCTTGGGACCGATTATTATGCTTAATTATCTCTAAATCTAACTTAGCAACAAGATTAAGAATTTAATTAATTAATACTTTATATTAAAATGTCAAATGTCATTGCCTTTGAACAAGAAATTTGCTCAATCAAACACGACTAGCTAAAATTTTAATATAAATATATTCACCGATTTCTGAAAATTAATTATTTTAAATTAAATTAGTTTTATGTCCATTTAATATCTTATCGTTTAAATGTGCTACAGCATTATATTGAACAACGTATGAATAATGTGCGAGTGTCTTCTTTCTCCGTCGGGATGACTTTATTTGATACCGGAGATATGACATCTTATTTGAACCGTGATTAGAGTTGAGGGAAGTTTTTTGACCAAGATCCAAGGGTGGATGTGGGAGTAACTGAACTCACTGTACACGAGTAAGACGTGGAAACATACAAGTGAGAAAAAGTGAGTCTTTCACTGTCGGTAATTCCCATTGGGACATAATAGTTCGTGAGAGATATAGCTGCCACGTGCGGTTCACATGAATTCAGACAGCACGTTACGTGTCCAGTGTGGTACGGTTTTCCAACACTTATGCCACAACATTTCAAGATTCTTTTACTCAAACCTGTAAGTGCATTAAACCGAATACTTTTGGGACCTGAGTGAAGTTATCCATATAATTAAGACAAAAGAAGAAATAGCGTGAAGAAAACTTTTGTTTATTACACTAATTTCCAAAAGAATGTAATTATATTCAAATGGGACACTGGTGTCACAAAGTCAAAAACTTCCAGGTTATTTCCATAAGAAACAGAAAAAAAATCAAGCATAAATGTTTTCACTTTTTTAGCTTTTGTTTTCTCTCTCTCACTCTCTCTTTCTCTCTCACTCTGTCTAAAGTTCAATCATTAAAGTCCAATTACCACCACAACCGCCACCGTCAACACCGACGGAGCAAACTAATCAAACCAATCAACAAATCAAAGCTGTAACAACAGAGGAAACAACAAGATGAGCGGTAAACAGCCGATGAGAATAGACTTGGACGAGATGCCGGAGACCCCACACCACCGTGGGATCTACCACCGTAGGGCCCACTCCGACACCTCGTTTCGCTTCGACGACCTTCTCCTCTTCGACCCTTCCGACCTCGACCTGTCGTCGCTCGACCTCCTCCCTTCGCCCAATCCTACTCCGCCACGTGTCCAAACCATGTCGGTTGATTCCTCCGACGATTCCTCATCGAACAGCCACCAAAACAACAACAACAACAATAGCAGTCAAAACCCTCCGAAGCCGAAGCCTATTAATCACCTCCGGAGTCTATCCGTTGACTCTGATTTCTTCGACAGCTTGGGTTTCACCGCCGCTGCCGGGGGCAGTGGCGGGAAGAGTGCGGCGGTTGGGGGAGGAGTAGGAGGAGGAGGAGAGAAGAGGAGCCACCATAGGCATAGTAATTCGATGGATGGGAGTAGTGCGACGTCGTTTGAGATTGATTCTGTTATTGGAGATGGTGTCAAGAAGGCTATGGATCGTGATCGCCTCGCTGAATTGGCTCTTATTGATCCCAAGAGAGCTAAAAGGTAATAACTTTTTACTTCTTTTATTATAAAAAAATAAAACTTTCGGCTCGTTGAATTCCTCTGTGTTTTCATTTTACACGAACTTATGTGAAGAATTAGTCGAAATTATTTTATTTTTTTGGGGAAAATGCTACAGTATTGTAGTGTAAATCCGGTAAGGAAACTATTTCGTACCGTATAGCTGAGAAACTGAGTAACAAGCTACCGATATTAGTAGTGAGAGTAGTTTGAGCAAGTAACAAACTACTGATATTAGTAGTGAAAGTAGTTTGTGCAAGTAACAAACTACTGATAAGTGGTATATATTACTATTTTGACGGTATAACTGGTTTTAATACGTTACCTGACTAGTAGTACATTGGTGCTCTGTTTTGTTTCAGATTGATGTAGCCTATATACTTTCTGATATGATTTTTTGATTTGGGTTATAATTGAAGTTTTGGTTTGATCTGATGGTCGGTGTTGATGAAGTGGTTGAAGAGGTGTGCTAATAGGATGATATTTGTTTTGTAGGATTCTTGCTAATAGGCAATCTGCAGCACGCTCGAAGGAGAGGAAAATAAGGTATACTAGTGAGCTAGAGAGGAAGGTGCAGACACTTCAAACCGAAGCAACCACACTGTCAGCTCAGGTCACCATGTTGCAGGTATGGATTTGGCTTTAACGTTTAGGTTTCAAATAAAAGAAAATGCCAAGAGGCCAAGATATTAAGGATGTATTTAGTTCATGGTAACAATTTTTTGCTAGTGTTGTTTGTTATTATTCTAATTGTGGTTATTAGCTTCAATTTGTACTGTGTTTGGACGGCATTTTCCTTGAGATTGGGAATAATACTTCCATGTTCAATATACTGTTCTATTGGCTGGTAAGCTGTGAGAACAGTGTTTTACAATTTTCAAAAGTAGGCTGGTTTTATATCTCATTTTCCAGAACAAAGCTTCCGGTTCTTGCTGCTAGATAGTTTTCTGGCCTACCCTTTCAATATCTATCCTTTTTCTTATCTCTAGTTATTGATATTCTTCACTTTCTGTTTGGCCTTCATTTCACATGTTGGCTTCTAATATTAACCCATTGGTTTTGAATGTTGTATTGCACCAATGTGCTGTATTATAATCCCCAGAGATTATGGCCTGGTATTTTTTCAGTTTTTGTGTTAACTTTTAAATTTTATTCAGTGTTGCTCTTTCTAATTTTTGAGAATCTAAAACGGCTCTGGTAATAAAAGCCCATCACCCATGTTAGTTAAGTATGGAGAAGATTAGTTTTACTCTATTTGGCACTATTGAAACCTTCTTTGGCACTGTGCCACCATCCTTACAATTCCTGCATCTCATAATATTTAATGTATCTTATGTTTGGTTGCTGAGATTGAAAGGATTGGGTTGATCTGCCAATTTTTATTCGGTACACCCATATTGTTGCTTGTGGGCAACATGCACAAATGCTTATCCAGGTTAAAACATAAGATGCATTATTTCAGTGGAGGATAACTATAAATTTTACTTATTAACTAAATTTTAGGCATATTTCAATTCTAGCTTATAACATGGTAAAACTGAATTCTGTTCCTCTGGGCATAGTGTCGCAGTCTCACATGGATATAAATGGGATGGAGGTTGGACTCATAAAGGTGGGTAGTGATTACTTTGCTAGTCTTTTTGGTTAATGGCAAATGCCAAACTTGCAACCAGTTGTAGTAGTAACAAATAGGCCCAAATTCCTGTCCTTTATGTGGACTCCTCACTTCCATGCCGACCATAAGGTGTGATCTTCCAATGAGTGTGATCTACTGGGGTTGTGTCATAGTTGACTACAGTATTAGCTAGTCTTTTATGTTTATGGGTTTGGCCTGTGACATAGTAACCTTGGGTGTCTATTATTTGGGATCCCAAATTTTCAGTTATTTCTACTTTGCTAATGTTAATACTTATGACACATGTACTACGTTTCGAAACTCTCATAAAATTTCACCATGCACTTCATGTTCGAAATTAATTAAAGATGATAATTTCATGATATAGTTGTCAATGTGAATTTGGATGTGGGACAACCTAGATATATTTTGGATTTAATTTGATTTTCCTTGTTTCTCTTGGTATCTATTTTCTTATTTGAGTTTGATTAATTAGGTAGTTTTTAAGAATTTAATTAAATGCTTATTTTTGTTTCTTATTTTGTTTTTTTGGGAAGTATAAATATTGGCTTGAATTATGTATTGTTTACTAAAATTTATTTTTTTATTCTCTAATTCTTTTGATTTTCTCCCATTTCTTATTCTTCAATGAAAGATGAAACAAGAAATGGGATAAATTTTAGAAGAATAAGATTATGGTGGAATAGAAAAATTTGGGGGAATTTAGAATCACTATTCTATTTTTTATTTTCACTTCGGCAACAATGATGACTTAGATTTTTATCTACAGTGGCCAAAACGTCTAAACAGGAAATTAAATTAAGCATCCCATTGGGAATTCCTATTTTCCCCACTTAACTAAAGGCAATAAGTATAACAGGCTACACACTGGGAATAATATATAAAATGTGGTTTAATTCTCAAGTGGCTCCAATAATGCACAGCCTTTTTTGCCCACTTACTTTTTCTTAATTTGCTTTCTTATACCATTAGATATTCTTCTAGACATTGGATAGTTTATATCAGTTTATCTTGGTGGAATATACTAGTTGCCCTGACAGCACCTTTTGTTGTACTTTTCTGGATACTGTATTGAGAACACTCGAAAAAACATTTCAAGGAAAAATGAAATGGAAGCATATGAAGGAAAAGACTAATGCTCGTGTATATTGTCTCCCTTTATGCAGAGAGACACTACTGGGTTAACAGCTGAGAATAAGGAACTCAAACTGCGATTACAAGCTATGGAACAACAATCACAGCTTAGAGATGGTAGTGTTTTTATGCTATATTCTCAGTTGCATTAGTTGTCATACATCCTCGTTGTTTACAATAACTATCTCGTTGCCATTATCAGAACAAATAACACTTTTAGCTTATGAAATAACTTTTAGTAGAAGATTTATGATAGGTTTATGTTGTTGTTAACATGCTTTTCTTGCGTATCCAGCTCTGAACGAAGCGTTAAGGGAAGAAGTACAACGCCTTAAAATAGCTACAGGCCAGATTCCAGCAGTGAACGGAAGCCCTTTCGGCAGAGGACTACCTCCTCAATTTTCCAGCCACCAGCCAGCCTTACATCACTTTGGTGGGCACCAGACTCAGCAGCATCAACAACAGCAGCAGCAGCACCAACAACAGCAGCAGCAGCAGATACCGCCGTCATCCACCAACAATCAGACGCTGAGCGGGCAGTCAATAAATATATTCACCGATTTCTGAAAATTAATTATTTTAAATTAAATTAGTTTTATGTCCATTTAATATCTTATCGTTTAAATGTGCTACAGCATTATATTGAACAACGTATGAATAATGTGCGAGTGTCTTCGTTCTCCGTCAGGATGACTTTATTTGATACCGGAGATATGACATCTTATTTGGACCGTGATTAGAGTTGAGGGAAGTTTTTTGACCAAGATCGAAGGGTAGATGTGGGAGTAACTGAACTCACTGTACACGAGTAAGACGTGGAAACATACAAGTGAGAAAAAGTGAGTCTTTCACTGTCGGTAATTCCCATTGGGACATAATAGTTCGTGAGAGATATAGCTGCCACGTGCGGTTCACATGAATTCAGACAGCACGTTACGTGTCCAGTGTGGTACGGTTTTCCAACACTTATGCCACAACATTTCAAGATTCTTTTACTCAAACCTGTAAGTGCATTAAACCGAATACTTTTGGGACCTGAGTGAAGTTATCCATATAATTAAGACAAAAGAAGAAATAGCGTGAAGAAAACTTTTGTTTATTACACTAATTTCCAAAAGAATGTAATTATATTCAAATGGGACACTGGTGTCACAAAGTCAAAAACTTCCAGGTTATTTCCATAAGAAACAGAAAAAAAATCAAGCATAAATGTTTTCACTTTTTTAGCTTTTGTTTTCTCTCTCTCACTCTCTCTTTCTCTCTCACTCTGTCTAAAGTTCAATCATTAAAGTCCAATTACCACCACAACCGCCACCGTCAACACCGACGGAGCAAACTAATCAAACCAATCAACAAATCAAAGCTGTAACAACAGAGGAAACAACAAGATGAGCGGTAAACAGCCGATGAGAATAGACTTGGACGAGATGCCGGAGACCCCACACCACCGTGGGATCTACCACCGTAGGGCCCACTCCGACACCTCGTTTCGCTTCGACGACCTTCTCCTCTTCGACCCTTCCGACCTCGACCTGTCGTCGCTCGACCTCCTCCCTTCGCCCAATCCTACTCCGCCACGTGTCCAAACCATGTCGGTTGATTCCTCCGACGATTCCTCATCGAACAGCCACCAAAACAACAACAACAACAATAGCAGTCAAAACCCTCCGAAGCCGAAGCCTATTAATCACCTCCGGAGTCTATCCGTTGACTCTGATTTCTTCGACAGCTTGGGTTTCACCGCCGCTGCCGGGGGCAGTGGCGGGAAGAGTGCGGCGGTTGGGGGAGGAGTAGGAGGAGGAGGAGAGAAGAGGAGCCACCATAGGCATAGTAATTCGATGGATGGGAGTAGTGCGACGTCGTTTGAGATTGATTCTGTTATTGGAGATGGTGTCAAGAAGGCTATGGATCGTGATCGCCTCGCTGAATTGGCTCTTATTGATCCCAAGAGAGCTAAAAGGTAATAACTTTTTACTTCTTTTATTATAAAAAAATAAAACTTTCGGCTCGTTGAATTCCTCTGTGTTTTCATTTTACACGAACTTATGTGAAGAATTAGTCGAAATTATTTTATTTTTTTGGGGAAAATGCTACAGTATTGTAGTGTAAATCCGGTAAGGAAACTATTTCGTACCGTATAGCTGAGAAACTGAGTAACAAGCTACCGATATTAGTAGTGAGAGTAGTTTGAGCAAGTAACAAACTACTGATATTAGTAGTGAAAGTAGTTTGTGCAAGTAACAAACTACTGATAAGTGGTATATATTACTATTTTGACGGTATAACTGGTTTTAATACGTTACCTGACTAGTAGTACATTGGTGCTCTGTTTTGTTTCAGATTGATGTAGCCTATATACTTTCTGATATGATTTTTTGATTTGGGTTATAATTGAAGTTTTGGTTTGATCTGATGGTCGGTGTTGATGAAGTGGTTGAAGAGGTGTGCTAATAGGATGATATTTGTTTTGTAGGATTCTTGCTAATAGGCAATCTGCAGCACGCTCGAAGGAGAGGAAAATAAGGTATACTAGTGAGCTAGAGAGGAAGGTGCAGACACTTCAAACCGAAGCAACCACACTGTCAGCTCAGGTCACCATGTTGCAGGTATGGATTTGGCTTTAACGTTTAGGTTTCAAATAAAAGAAAATGCCAAGAGGCCAAGATATTAAGGATGTATTTAGTTCATGGTAACAATTTTTTGCTAGTGTTGTTTGTTATTATTCTAATTGTGGTTATTAGCTTCAATTTGTACTGTGTTTGGACGGCATTTTCCTTGAGATTGGGAATAATACTTCCATGTTCAATATACTGTTCTATTGGCTGGTAAGCTGTGAGAACAGTGTTTTACAATTTTCAAAAGTAGGCTGGTTTTATATCTCATTTTCCAGAACAAAGCTTCCGGTTCTTGCTGCTAGATAGTTTTCTGGCCTACCCTTTCAATATCTATCCTTTTTCTTATCTCTAGTTATTGATATTCTTCACTTTCTGTTTGGCCTTCATTTCACATGTTGGCTTCTAATATTAACCCATTGGTTTTGAATGTTGTATTGCACCAATGTGCTGTATTATAATCCCCAGAGATTATGGCCTGGTATTTTTTCAGTTTTTGTGTTAACTTTTAAATTTTATTCAGTGTTGCTCTTTCTAATTTTTGAGAATCTAAAACGGCTCTGGTAATAAAAGCCCATCACCCATGTTAGTTAAGTATGGAGAAGATTAGTTTTACTCTATTTGGCACTATTGAAACCTTCTTTGGCACTGTGCCACCATCCTTACAATTCCTGCATCTCATAATATTTAATGTATCTTATGTTTGGTTGCTGAGATTGAAAGGATTGGGTTGATCTGCCAATTTTTATTCGGTACACCCATATTGTTGCTTGTGGGCAACATGCACAAATGCTTATCCAGGTTAAAACATAAGATGCATTATTTCAGTGGAGGATAACTATAAATTTTACTTATTAACTAAATTTTAGGCATATTTCAATTCTAGCTTATAACATGGTAAAACTGAATTCTGTTCCTCTGGGCATAGTGTCGCAGTCTCACATGGATATAAATGGGATGGAGGTTGGACTCATAAAGGTGGGTAGTGATTACTTTGCTAGTCTTTTTGGTTAATGGCAAATGCCAAACTTGCAACCAGTTGTAGTAGTAACAAATAGGCCCAAATTCCTGTCCTTTATGTGGACTCCTCACTTCCATGCCGACCATAAGGTGTGATCTTCCAATGAGTGTGATCTACTGGGGTTGTGTCATAGTTGACTACAGTATTAGCTAGTCTTTTATGTTTATGGGTTTGGCCTGTGACATAGTAACCTTGGGTGTCTATTATTTGGGATCCCAAATTTTCAGTTATTTCTACTTTGCTAATGTTAATACTTATGACACATGTACTACGTTTCGAAACTCTCATAAAATTTCACCATGCACTTCATGTTCGAAATTAATTAAAGATGATAATTTCATGATATAGTTGTCAATGTGAATTTGGATGTGGGACAACCTAGATATATTTTGGATTTAATTTGATTTTCCTTGTTTCTCTTGGTATCTATTTTCTTATTTGAGTTTGATTAATTAGGTAGTTTTTAAGAATTTAATTAAATGCTTATTTTTGTTTCTTATTTTGTTTTTTTGGGAAGTATAAATATTGGCTTGAATTATGTATTGTTTACTAAAATTTATTTGTTTATTCTCTAATTCTTTTGATTTTCTCCCATTTCTTATTCTTCAATGAAAGATGAAACAAGAAATGGGATAAATTTTAGAAGAATAAGATTATGGTGGAATAGAAAAATTTGGGGGAATTTAGAATCACTATTCTATTTTTTATTTTCACTTCGGCAACAATGATGACTTAGATTTTTATCTACAGTGGCCAAAACGTCTAAACAGGAAATTAAATTAAGCATCCCATTGGGAATTCCTATTTTCCCCACTTAACTAAAGGCAATAAGTATAACAGGCTACACACTGGGAATAATATATAAAATGTGGTTTAATTCTCAAGTGGCTCCAGTAATGCACAGCCTTTTCTGCCCACTCACTTTTTCTTAGTTTGCTTTCTTATGCCATTAGGTATTCTTCTAGACATTGGATAGTTTATATCAGTTTATCTTGGTGGAATATACTAGTTGCCCTGACAGCACCTTTTGTTGTACTTTTCTGGATACTGTATTGAGAACACTCGAAAAAACATTTCAAGGAAAAATGAATGGAAGCATATGAAGGAAAAGACTAATGCTCGTGTATATTGTCTCCCTTTATGCAGAGAGACACTACTGGGTTAACAGCTGAGAATAAGGAACTCAAACTGCGATTACAAGCTATGGAACAACAATCACAGCTTAGAGATGGTAGTGTTTTTATGCTATATTCTCAGTTGCATTAGTTGTCATACATCCTCGTTGTTTACAATAACTATCTCGTTGCCATTATCAGAACAAATAACACTTTTAGCTTATGAAATAACTTTTATTAGAAGATTTGTGATAGGTTTATGTTGGTGTTAACATGCTTTTCTTGCGTATCCAGCTCTGAATGAAGCGCTAAGGGAAGAAGTACAACGCCTTAAAATAGCTACAGGCCAGATTCCAGCAGTGAACGGAAGCCCTTTCGGCAGAGGACTACCTCCTCAATTTTCCACCCACCAGCCAGCCTTACATCACTTTGGTGGGCACCAGACTCAGCAGCATCAACAACAGCAGCAGCAGCACCAACAACAGCAGCAGCAGCAGATACCGCCGTCATCCACCAACAATCAGACGCTGAGCGGGCAGTCACACCCAAGCTTCATGGACTTTAACCAGAGGGTCTAGCTTCATTCAAGGCACTTGATTAATGGTGTTATCTAATCCTTTTAAGTAGTAGAAGATGAGGGTTTTTTTTTTTTTCCTTTTCTTTTTTGTATATAGAAATGTGTATATGTGTTGCAGGTTGTGAATGAGTGTTGCTCAGAGCAAACCCCTGTATCAGTTGCGCACATGGCTATGTTACTCATAGTGTAGAAAATTGCTCACATCTTGATGTAGAAAAATTAGGAGGTAATGATAATTGATGGTTGGATGATTGTTGTTGTCAGTTGTAGCTCATTATATTTTGAATATTTGTTTATGGAGTTGGTTTTATTTAACAAGGTCGTTATATATATATTTTACTTTTAGGATGTATTTGGTTTAGAGAATATTGTATTATTGTGAATGTTATATTAATGGAAAGATAGATTACTTTGAAGATTATTAGGAATATTATATTAAATGTGTTGGTTAAATTGAAATAAATTGGTAAGTATGTTATATTGATATGTTTGGTTGAAAATAATAAATTGGTAGATATGTTCTATAGAGTACAGATTTATGAATTGACTTTTTTTTTTTTTTTTTTTAATATTATTATGAGTAAACGACATGTTCTCACATGAGGTTTAGCGAAATAGCTAGTGGATACCCCTGATTTCATTTATTCTAGACTCTTATCTTTAAAGTAACATCGTTTGCTAAAATGGTTATATACATTGTATCATGACGCACATCAGCATGCTAAAGTGTGTTGGCGTTTTACTAGGCAAGAGATAGGCTCATCTTAGCAGTATCCAAGTTGATAGTTTTTGACTTTTTTTTTGTTGATTTTGAAGTTCAAAATCACTGTCAAGATTACTGTTGGACTCATCACAACCTCCTTTACCCATACATTCACTTGTTGACCTCATTCACCATTTCCGATCACCTTCATTCTTGCCACCTTGTGAGATTGGGTTACTTTTCAAGCTTTTTCTGATTGATTTGGATACAACCGACCTCTTTAGACTTCACTCTTAGCTTCTTCGCCATCAATTGATTGTTGTGATGTGTTTTTTAGTTGTTAGTGACTCTTCAATTGGCGAAAATCAAAACCAAATTAGTGCCCATAACTTGCTTGATTAAAGCCCTCAACCAGCTACTGCCTAAAACCCAACCCCATCACCACCAAATTAACGATGTTGCTTTGAAGGTAGGAATCTGAAATAAATGAAACTAGGGATATCAACTTGCCATTTTGCTAAACCTCGAGTGGAAAGTGGGAACATGTCATTTACTCTATTATTATTATTATTATTATTATTATTATTTAGATTATTTTTTTAACCTCTATATTTGAGATTTTGTCAAAACACCACAGCCATAATAAAAGTTTAAATTTCAACAAGAACAACTCATCCACCCAAGCCACTGTCGGTCATCGACCACCACTGTCGATTACAGTCGATTGTGGCCTGAACGGTGCACGATCGGTCATATGACTCATATATGGTCGGTCGTGCGTCGATCTAGTCGTTTTCGACCAGATCTATGGCTGTTAATGGCCATGGATTAACAGCCATAGATCTAACCGAAAACGATCATATCTATTCTCGCTGTTTCTGGCTATATCCACAGCCATCTGGCCATTTACGACTATTGATCTAGTCAAAAACAACCAGATCAGTGCATGGTCGGTCAGATCTAGTCGATCGTGTGCCATCCCTATGACGTCAATCGGCAATTGACAGTGGTGGTCAAATCCAGCTATCTGTCTTTGATAATTTGGTTCAAGTTCAAGGGTAATAATGTACTAAAAATCTTGTGTATAAGGATAAAATAGTTCATAAATATTCTTGTAAGTTGTGTTAATAACAAGGGTATTACTGTCCAAAATTTTTAATCATTAGGGGTAAAATTGTAACAAGATTAAGATTATCAAGCAATCTTATAATTCCCAAAAAAATAGTAGTATTCAAATTGCTACCTATGTAACCAACAGTAATTATTATTGGTTTTAAAAGATTATCCGAATCTTTTATTAATTGATAACTAAATACAATAAAATAAGTACTATAAGATGACATTACTAGAGTAATGTCAAATACTCTTAAACCAAACACCCCCTCTGGGTCATTTAAATTTAGCAAAGTTTCAGGTGCAGGAGTGATTTTTTGGACCCATTTTGATCTTATTATAATATTTACATTTTACAAAGAATATGCTATTCAATACCATGATCAATAATCCCTGTTTCAACTTCTTGAAAGGGTTAGGGATATCTTAAAGGAATATGAAAGGTTAGGGATATCTTAAGGAATAAAAATAAGTTAACAAATATTTCTCACAACTTTGTCTTACAAACGTTGACGTAACAGTTCGCATTTAGTCAGGTAAGACCCATTATGAACTGGCCAATTACAAATTGACACGTTGCGTTTGTGAGAGAAAATTAGTGAAAAAGATTTCATAGTGTAGTATTATTGTATCTTAAGCATTACTCGACATTCCCATTTAAAAAAAATACACCATTTTTTGTTTTCTTAGTCTTGTATATGCATGATAAGAGTGAAAGAGAGAAAATGCTTTTATTATCTGAAGATTTTATCGATGATTTGTATCGATATCCCTATGTATTGGATTAATCCGATACCTATTTGAGGGTATGACACCTGTACACATCCAAACACAAGTGATAGAATCAAACTTTGAATTGTTTCCTAAAACTAATGACAAAGAGCAAGACTCACGGTGGTGGCAAAAACAACACAGCATCAGCAACAGACACCAGTTACAGTCAAAGAGAAAACCAAACAAAATTCTAGACTTTTGTTTCTTTTCATTGAAGTCAGCGACACAAAGTTGGAGTTAAATTGATAACAACAATGGAAATGTTATCCTATCGTTTAAATTTTTCAGAACGAGGAAAGGGAATCAGCACCTCAATTTCAAATAAAAAATATGGACTATGAATGAAACTTGATTAACTATTTTGTCACAACATCGTTAATAGCTAAGTACTATGTCTCACATTGGGGACATTTGTTCCAAGGTGGCTACCGAAGTTCAGTTTAAATAGGAAGGCAACTAAGAAGAAAACAATAGAGCAGCAAAATTTAGCAGTTGATTTTGTGAAGTGATTGATCACTCAGTGACTGAGAATGGAATTATTCAGCATCTTACTGATTATGGTGATTGTTGCCACATTTGTTCTTTCAGGTTTCTTCTTGTCGAGTTCATGGACGACAACACCGAAAACAATGGAGCACATTCCAGGAAGCTTGGGGTGGCCTGCTGTTGGTGAAAGCTTCTCATTTATATCTGATTTTTCCAACCCATCTGGCATTTACAGCTTTGTGAAGGAGAGGCAACAGAGGTAATAAAATCAATCAAATAAAGAACCATGAACGCATGTAAAAATTATCAAGAATGTTAGATTTGATGTTATAATGCAAACATTATTCAGGTATTAGATTTGATGTTATAATGAAAACATTATTCAGGTATGGAAAAGTTTTCAAGACTTTTGCGTTGGGGAGATACACTGTGTTCATGACTGGGAGAGAAGCAAGCAAAATATTGTTAACTGGAAAAGATGGGATGGTGAGTTTGAACCTTTTTTACACAGGGCAGCAAGTTCTTGGCCCAACCAGCTTGCTCCAGACCAGTGGAGAAGCACACAAACGGCTGCGACGGCTGATTGCTGAACCACTTTCGGTTGATGGCCTGAAAAAATATTTTCAGTTTATTAACACACTGGCAATTGAAACACTGGATCAATGGCCTGGAAGAAGGGTGCTGGTTCTTGAAGAGGCTTCTACAGTTGAGTCTAGAGAGCAAGTTAATTACTGTCCTGTAGGGTTTTTTTAAATTCAAGATAACTAAATCTTCTGTTGTTTATGCAGTTCACTCTGAAAGTGATAGGCAACATGATAATGAGCTTGGAACCCACCGGTGAGGAGCAGGAAAAGTTTCGGGCCAATTTTAAACTCATTTCTTCCTCATTTGCTTCCTTGCCATTGAAGCTCCCAGGAACAGCTTTCAATCGCGGTATCAAGGTAATACTTCTCAACAACTTACCTGCATAAAATCATAAAAAGTGACCTGACAAGAAATTGATGGATTTGATTTGCATTTTGTTAAGCGTTTAAAATTTTAAGACATCCACACCTAAGAATCACTATATAACCAAAAATGTTGCTTCTTAGCAAAGAAGGAAATTGAAATTTTCTCTAATACAAGTTTTTTCTGTTTCAGGCTCGGGATAGAATGTATGCCATGTTGAACTCTATGATTTCCGGGAGGAGAAGTGGCAAAAGCTTCCAACAAGATTTCCTTGAGTCCCTGATAATCAAACATAGCAAAACAGGAGACACAGATGATACAGAAGATAAACTCACTGATAAACAATTGAAGGACAATATATTGACTCTACTAGTTGCAGGACATGACACCACAACTGCTGCTCTCACATGGTTCATCAAATTCCTTGAAGAAAATCCTGCTGTTTTGGAACAACTCGGAGTAATATTTACTTCACATTACCTGAAAATTTTGATTAGTTTCTTTGAGTAGTCGAACTGAAATTTTCCAGTGGCTTTGCAGAAGGAACACCTGGAAATACAAGCAAACAGAAAGGATAGTGCAAATCTTACCTGGTCCGAAGTCAACAAAATGCCTTACACTGCCAAAGTAAGCAAGCATAACAACAAAAATTATTCTTTTAGAATAAGTAACAATCTGTGGAAAGGTCAATGAATTTTGATATTTTCCCAAATTGAAATTCAGGTGATCAGTGAAACTCTTCGTAAAGCAACAATTTTGCCTTGGTTTTCAAGAAAAGCTGCTGAAGATTTCGAGATTAATGGTAAGCATAATTCCGCAAACCAGACTGAAAAACATACTGATATTTTCATAAGAAACATGTAACATTTATAGTACTATTACCAAATCATTTTTAAAATTCCACTCCAGGATGCAAAATCAAGAAAGGATGGTCGGTAAACCTGGATGTCGTTTCTATTCATCATGACCCGGAAATTTTCCCAAATCCTGAAAAGTTTGATCCCTCCAGATTTGATGTAAGTTAAGCTCAATAAGTTGATCACCTTTGTCTCTGAAAATGCACAATGGGAAATGTTTCATTCTTTTCAAATGTAGGCACCTGTGAAGTCTTTCAGCTTTCTCGGATTTGGCAGTGGACCGCGAATGTGTCCTGGAATCAATCTGGCTAAACTGGAAATCTCCATTTTTATCCATCACCTAGTCTGCAAATACAAGTAAGATGGACAACAATATGTAGATGGACAATAATATGTATATGTTCTCAATTCTAACATTGTGAATGTTCATAATAGGTGGACACCTCTGGAGAAAGATGACTCTGTTCAGCCGACACTTGTTCGAATGCCGAAAAACAAGTACCCAGTTGTCGTAGAGCCGCTGTAAAGCTTTCTTGCAGTAGAATATTCATGTCAAATATGGAGATGAAAGGGCAAGAGACAAGTAAACAGTAGAAAGACAGAAGCTAAACAGAGCAAGTAGAGATACAAGATTTGGACCAGAGCAGAAGCAAGATAACAGATTTAACTTTCTGCATATCCTGCAATATGATAAAGTTTATATTTTCCATTATAAACATAAATTATGAATAAATTATTCCATCAGGGATAAGTTGTACTGAATAAAGCCACTGCTTTTACCTGCTATATATATGATTAGTTTAACTTCAAAATTGGGCCATGAAAGCATAAGGTAATATCAAAATTCAATTAGTATGAAACATAATAATAAGAAACCCGAAAAAAAAAAAAAAAAAGAAAGAAAAAGAAAAACACACAATGCTAAAACAAATCCAGATTCTATTAAAATCAAGAATTTTGATACAAACAAGACAACAGACAAATAATCCCAAGCAATAACAATCTATCGCTTATGGAGAGCTAATGCATGCAAACAATCTATCACTTATGGAGAGAACAACAGCAATTTTCAGTTCCTATATCTGCCGCAATGCAAGGAGCCTGAGCCTTTCCCCCCTCGTACCAGGTTGAGCGGTGCTCAACCAACTCGTTCAAGAAATCGTCTAGTTTGTCAATGTTGACACTAGGCATAACCACAACATGAGCGATATTACCTTGGCAGGCAAGCTGCCACTTTCGAACAAACTCTTCATCTTGAGGACGCTCAAACACAACTGTGCTGCTAAGTTCATTCAACATGGCACTGATACCAACACCTCGAAGGTGGTCCTTCAAGTAGTGAGCGTTTCTAAGACACTTCTGGACTTCTTTCTGGAAGCCTTTGTATCCTTTTCTATTGAGGGTGTACCAGAGGAAGAGAGGAGCATGGCCATTTCGGCTTCCCATGATCGTGGCATCCCTTGAAGCAAGGTACTCGACATTCCTTGAGAGAGCATTGATGTGCTCCATCCTTGTTATCTGAACACCACAAGGCATTGGGCATCCCACAAACTTGTGGCCAGAGACAGACACACTTCCGATGGGTTTCTTGAAACTAACCTTTGGAGCCTGTTCATCAACAAGATTGAAAAGCCCAAAAGGATTAAGTAAGGCCAGGAGAATAGGACTGAACACAGATTAACACTTGCATAAGGTTTAATCAAATATGTGCAAGAGGAAGCAACCGAGCACACTAAGACAACTATCCAGTACAAACAGTAATATCATGACATCATCCAATTATCCACAGGTGAAATAATATATTTGGTCTCCACAACTTTCAAATTTTCAACAGAAATGCTTTGTGACAATTGCATTTTATAAGGTAAACAGAAATACATACAAGAAAAGCTAGTTCAGATCAGAAATATGCGATTTCACTCACAGCCTATTGTCTATGATTGAGTTCATCCAATGCAAAGGCACCTGGGCAGAATACTTAGTCCTTTTGTTCAAACTGAGAAAAACCAAATAATATGTTCTGGAATGAAACGCACCACAATTGACTGATTCAGTTATTAATGAAGAGCAAAAGCTATTAAATCAGACTAAGGAAACTCTTAAAAGCAAAATTGCTAAAGCCCAAAACCATCTGCTAATGCAAGAAATGAAAGACTGAAGGAAAGAGGGAAGCCGAATTTACAATCTTTAAGTTTCCTTATAATGTTAAAAGTTGGGAATGACATGACTTACACGTTTAACAAAGGGCATCATGAGTCCGAATAAAGCTCCATCACAATGAATATAGAAGCAATCATGCTTAAATCCACTTTCTTCAAGCGTTTGTATCACAAGATCAAGGTCATCAACAGCTCCTTTCACAGTTGTTCCTGTAATACAAATAATCGATCAGATCAACTCGGTTAATGGTGCACATTCACTTCTTTGAGTTTGTGGGATTGGGAGGGAGAGAGAGAGAGAGTGAGAGACCTATATTAACATTGATAATAGCCGGTTTGTCCTTGTGCGCAAGTAGTTTAACTTTGAAATCGGCACAATCAATTTCACCAGACATCAGAGTGTCAACCTTAACACATTCCATTCTATACATACGTGCAGCTTTAAAGACAGAATAATGGGACTCTTTTGATGCATACAGAATCCCATCCGGAAACACCTCCCTCCTGCAAGATCAAAGTACAATATGTTTCAGATTTCTTTGACAGAAAAGATAAATGATTATGATGTGACAAAGAAGCAATGTAAAGCTAAAACCTAACCATACTTACCCAACTAAAATGCCATGAAGATTGCCTTCTGTACCACAATTTGTAATGTATCCCCAGTATTCATCTTTCTCTATTTCCCATAGACGAGCAAACCAATCCAAAACACCAACTTCAAACTGTCTTGAATGAACACCATAGTTGCTTTCAATAAATGGATCCCCAAGATTGTTGATGGAGAAATGCTGCAACTGACCAAGGGCACCATAATCGAAGTCAAGATTATAGGGATAACCTACAAAAAAGACATCATTGGAAGCAAAAGTTTTTAAAAAAAAAATCAAAACCAAAGACATAACTAGAAACTTTAACGTCAGAGGTCAGATTGACAATGCATTGTCATGGCATCTTTAGTAATTGTGACAAGTTTATCAATTAAACAATGAAATGTTGCCTCCCACAAGTAACAATATGAAGTCAGGAGGCCTCCAAAACAAAATTACTCGAAACAAATCGGCAACAACTCTTGCTTTTTCTTCAATATATCTATTTCTTTTACTTGAGCATCAGTAAGCACATCCTTAAACAAAATCACTTTGCAATTTTCTGACATCAGGTTACCACTTTTCATGTTTTGTGTAGTTTAAATTTTTAGATATACATATGATTTTCTTTTTTCTTTTTCTTTTTCAATTTTCTATTTCAAAAAACGAAAATGATGCACATTTTCTACTATATAAAAGATGACAACGAAACAATAATAAACGCATACATAACTTTCACTTATGTGTAATTTATAAGTGTATCCCTCGTCATATCAAGCAACTCTACATACACATCAAATCACAAACAAAAGACAACAGAAAATAAACTATTTCAGTAAACTCCACGCTATGTAAGTACTAAAACAAGAGATTAGTAAACATTCAGGCCACATTTTACTCGGCATTCTAACATATACTTTTGCTTACTTTTCTTTTACTCTTTGCTTTTGAGAAAACAATAATCTTAGAGGGTATCACTCAAAACATGTAAACAAACAAATATAGCCACTCACTCTCGGTATTGACGTTATAATATCTTAATATAGCTATCACAATTCACACATCCAAAAGTAAAAGTTCTGCTTTTGAAAGCAATAGATGTTTGCTTTACCAAAAAAGCAAAAAGCAGTACTTTAAATGTAAAACCAAAATGATGCTTTTCAGCTTTCAAAAACAAAATTATATTTACAAAGGTGAAACAACTATCATGAGTGCCCATTACCACAACTACCTGAGCATATCATGTGGTTGAACTTGAACACTAGGCATGATTCATTTAGCTCAACTAGAATAAGTATTTATAAAATTTCAACAAAAATATACCTAACAGTAAATTTAGAGTTCTTATATCACACTAAATATCTTATAACTTGTAAGTTAGTATAAGATGTAACACAAAGTCATTTTTAGCTAACAACCAACATGAAAAACGAAGTATTGAAACGACGACGTTTAAACACATTTCTTAATGTTTAGTACCTAAATGGTGCTTAGTCCGTTCGACCAAAGTCTTCCTGTAGCGAGCCAAGACGCCAGCCATGTAAGCCTCTTTGTCACCGGTGAACTCGTCGTTAGCTTCCGGCTCCGTGACAGCTAGGCACGTGGTGTGCACGTTCTTCCCGAGCACAATCTCTCTCTCACTCTCACTCTCCATCTCAGACTCAGCAATAATCTTCACAAGCCCTCCGTTCTCCTCAGCCACAACCGGAGGCAACGGCTCAGACACCACAGCCGTCGGATTGAAATCTCTCGAAAAGATCTCCGCCATGGCTCCGTTCACGTGCTTCAAACTAGTTTCCACTTCCATTTGCACGACCTGAGCCATAACTAAAAAGTAAATTAACAATGCAAATGTGAAAGCAGCGCGCGTGAATAAATAAGAGAAAACTGTAAGAAGATTTTGAATGTTGGAGAATTTAATAGTTGTAATGGAGTGATGGCAGATCCGGAGAGAGGAACCTGATCGGAGAAGATTGAGGCGGTGGATTCGTTCGTTTGTTCGTTCAAGAACGGAGAGATAGAAGCTCCGGTACAAACGAGAGAGTTGGTTTTTGCAGTACCGTTTGTAAGACGAGCGAAAAAAGGAGGGCGTTACCACTCTATTTATAGTGGCGATTTTTCTGGAGACTTTCGTATTTGCTAAGTTAATACAATAGATATTTTTTGTTTTTTTTTATTTTATTTTTTCATAGTGAAGTTAGACATCACGTCACGTGAGTCTTATTATTAATTCTCTTCCAGATTGCACTATAATTAAAATCCTTTGATACAAGATATAAAATNAACCCAAATGATCAAATAAACCATAATGTTATTATAGTATGTAACTCTAAAATTTAAATCTAGAAACTCAAAAAAATGAACAAATATCCTTAACCATCAAGCCAACCTTACAATTTCTCTTCCCTTCGCTATATATAGCAGCTTCTTCATATAAGTTAACTTCAATTATTGAATTCTGTTTTGTTTTTTTCGCCTTGATTATACATGAATTGGCACAAGCTTTGGCCTCTAAGATTGCCCAAGGGAGTTGACCCCATACCTACTCAATTATTTGATTCTAACAAAGACAAAGATGTAAACACCTTTTTGTCGAGCTTACCTTAACATAGGATACTTTTTTCATTATTTATATAAAATTTTCTTTTTCACATGGTTTAGTTCTTCATTTAATTACAATACTGTTGGGGATATAAAACTCATATATAGCATTTTACTCTTGTGGCGTGTTTGGTCGGAGGAATATCATCTTATATTACTAACATTAATTGTCATGTAATATAATATTTTGGTATTTTTCCAAAACCAATAGTAATTAATGTTAGTTATATAGGTGGTAATCTAAATGAATAATACTACACTTGTAAACTTTTTATACAAACTCTCTCATACAAAGTAATACAACCACTTTCAAGGGCGGATTTAGCCCCTTTGGCCTACCCTTAGATTTGAAATTTTTTTTATTAATGTATAGGCCATAAAAATTGTTAATTAACATATATACTCAGACGCTCCATCAAATTTTTAAAAAATAAGAATTATTATACATACTGTATATCTAGGTCTACAAAAAAAATTGTTATATATATATATATATATATATTCCAAGCTCACATCATATTAAAAGTTTAAAACTCTCTTCAGTGTTTTTTTACACAGCTTTACCTGATTTTTTATGATTTTATCCGCAAATTCTTTACTCTCTCTTTCTCTTTCTCATGTTATTGTCTCTTAAAATTTTTGAAGACTGAAATTGTTAAATTTTCACTACTTAAGGTGTCATAATTAGCTATGTTTTCTGTTTTATAGATTTTAGGTATGTGTATTGTTCATTTTAATTTAGTTTATTTAAGGATTGAATCATTTTTTTTCTTTTTGAGGTTTTTTATTATAATTTGAGAGAAAAATATATTAATCTTGTAAGTTTATTTTGTATTTTCTGTCTAAGAATGAACCTGCTTTCTCAAATTAAAACTTTAACTATATTTTAAAGGACGTTATTCTTCATCATTCACCAACCACTTTCCTATATTTTAAACGTTACCGTTCAGTTGTTCAAAATTATTAAAGAAATTTGAATTACTATCTATGTTTATACTAAAAAAAATTCCCCTCTTTTATTAATTCATATTAAAAGTCAACGTAACGTTGACTTGATTTAAATTTTGGTTAACTTTAGTTTAATTAGGCTAGGTTTGATCAATGCTATGAAAATTTATATTATTATATTTGAAAGCCAAAAATAAAAATATTAAAAGAAAGCTTTGTTCAAGGTTTACACAAAATTTTGCTTTTCATAAATTTATTCAAGTAAGAAAATATTATGTTAATGTATATTCTTTTTTCTCATGTTCTTAATATTATATTATTATTTTTATTAAGGTTATGTGATTTTTTAAAGTTTTCACTAATTATTTGGTAAATAATGGTTGAGTCGCGGAGGCCCCCTCTCGAAAAAAATCCTGAATCCGTCACTGGCCACTTTGCATGTTTGTCACGTAATTTATTTTAATTTAAAATAATTTAATCATCTTTTGTTACATCAGTTTGTATAAAAAAATTTGTAAGTGTAGTATTACTAAATGTGAATATCACAATTTTTTTAGGTATTTTAAGATTACTTGGTAATCTTAATTTTGTTACAATTATACCTTAACAATTAAAATTTTAGGACATTATTACCCTTGTTCTTAAAACAATTTACCCATAACACCCCAGCCACCTTCCGACGACCGTTGGCCACCGCCGCCCTTGTTGGTCGAAAGTCGACAATTACTAAAACGGTGAACGATCAACTGAATTTGGCTGATCGTGTATCGATGTGGTTGTTTCCGACTAGATCTATTTGACCGTTAATGACTAATTTATTCCTCTCAACCAAACATATTAATATAACATACCTATTAATTTATTCCAATATAATCAAACATATTTTATATAACATTCCCAGTAATCTTCAAAGTAATATATCTTTCTATTAATATAACATTCTCAGTAATATAATATTCCCTGAACTAAATGCTCTTTTAAAACCGTATTCAAAAATATAAATCAAGCAAGAAGCATGTCCTTGAGATTAGATGGGCCGCATCAGGTTAGCCCTTAATATCATTTATAAATCTTTCCTTAATCCATTAGTTTAGTTGGACCCAAACATCATTTTATTAGTAATGCTAAAATGTACCCCATTTTCTAAGTACGCAAAATTAAAAATATAAAGTGTATTATACTAAAAGTCTATTGTCAATTTTATTTTTATTAATGTTATTTGTCACGTGATGTATTAAACGGCAAGTCTATAATAGCGTGTGACATTTAACTACTACTATTAGATTAATATACATAATTATTATAATTTAATTTTCTTATTAATTTCAATATTAGTTTATTTTGGTTCATTGACAAATACACATTCTGTCTATATCCCAGGAATCTTCAACAGAAACCATAATATAAATTCCCATTTTTCTAGCTGGTCTGTCTGATCGTATATCTTCACGCATTGAATATTGAAATAAGATATATGTACTAGACGTACTCGTTCCTAAGTTTGTATATGCATATGTATTAATCTCCCATCCCATGATAGACACGTTATCCTTAGACTTGTAATAATATTTACGCCTATTTCTCTATATTATATATAATTGCTGACTTCTAATCCAGTGACTACTGCCTCCCTCCATCCTAATCCTCAATTCTACGTCTCTATTAATTAAATAAATCACATTTGAAACAACCCCATATAAAAATATCATTTTCAACCCAACTTGTAGATCTTCAGAATCATTCAAACTAATATTTACTATCAGCAAAGTTATTCAATCAAACACTTCAGTATTAGAAAAATATCATTTATACACAAAGATCTGCAATATTTATCTATTTCTGATAATAACTTGTTGATAATGTGGCTCGATTTGGAGATTTTATTATATCTTAATGCATCATCAAATAATATAATTAATCATATGCTTAACCACAAAACAACAGGTCGCCCAAATTCAGCCTCCTTTTTTAAAAAAAAAAAATTTTGGAATGAGTCAAACCTGCAATGCACAACCGTCATCTGCTTTTGAAATATCTGGATTACTTGTTTATGTATTATAGTACTTGTGAGCCACCAAGATGTTGAATATAAACATTTTTTTATCATTAAATAGGCTGATAATTCAATTGGGAAGATCTGGTGGGCGATTGCTTCATAATTTGAAACAATTTTTAAAAACAAAGAAACAATCAAAACGTCTAGAATCAATTAGGTTGTACTGTACTTAATTTAAAGTTAAAAAACAAAAACATCTGTAGACCTGTGACTTCTAGTTTTTCTAAACTTTCCACAGTTCCTTCCAGCCTAGCGCCTACCCAGCTACCAATTATTGCACTGAATAATACAATTACTTTTGTCATTTAATATGATGGAAAATTTCCGTATCATCCCAGGAGCCAACCCTTTCATTTAAGGTGTGTGCACAGCCGCCCCTGCACTAACTGAGCAATGATACATCAAACTGATCAACTAAGCCTCGTGGCTGAATATGGAAAAGTTAATTATATCTGCAATGAATTATAAACCTCCAATAAAAGATAAGTAGAATTCCGTCAGCTATGAACTGACATTTTAATTTACTTCATTATCTTTATCGGCCACTCTGATTTACAAATAGCATGTTTTCTATATAGTAATCTTCTTGAACCGGTGGCATAATTGTGTAAGTTACCAATTTTTTTTTTATTTTTTGCTCGTGAGGTACAGCGGATGCCGGACGTACCAGCCAAGTATTAGGAATTTTTTATTCAATATGCATATCAGTCTGTAAATATAAATCGAAAAAATTCATATCCCTAGAGAAGACATAGCACTATTTTCCTATACTATGAATAAGTTATATCCCACTTTGCAAGCTGAGGCCTAACTGAAGATCCAGAGATTTACAGCTTTGTTTTGAAGAAGACAAAGGTGAAGGCGGGATGATGACAGATCTTTTATCTTGGGATTTTTCAGCCTGTGTTAAAGTGAACATGCAAGAATCTTGTTGAAAAGGAACATGATGAGTTGGTATGGTGTACCAATTTGATAGCTGAGACGCATCTTGATCCCGTGAACTGAAACTAATCTGAGATTCCTGATCGTAGACAGTGAAATGATCGGGAGAATAGATGGAAGGATCATAAAACCACGCATTGGAGGCATGGTAATTGAAATTCAGATTGTTTTGAATAGGTTGAAGATAACAGTTGATGCTGGCTTTTCTGGCTTGAAGTTGCAGTCTTTTCTTCTTCATTCTCTCCTTCTTGTGGGCATTTTGATGACCCCCCAACGCCTGTGAATTTGCAAACTCTTTGAAACAATATTGGCACTCAAACTTCTTGTCGTCCGGTTGATCACCCGGTGAGGTTTTATCCTTGTTTGGTTGCTTCTCGGTTGCATATGAAACGGTGGTCGATGAGTTGACACTGTCATCTCCTTCAGTACATACTTTGAAAATTTCAGTAGTGCTATTGTTGCTTGGATTAAGCTCAAACCCAAATAATCTGAGCTTCTTTTCAACACAGGATCCTGAAGAACAAGCA